ATACCAACCAGACAATATACCTTCCCACCTTCTTTCCCAAACCACACGCCAACTCTTGCGAGATGAAAATGCACACCCTTGACTTGCACAGAGCACTTTCTTTTTACCTGCAACGAACAAGACCATTTTGGGCATCTCCCAGAGCATTTGTTTCAATACCAAACTGCAGTAAGGGCTGGGCCATCTCATCAAAGAGACTCTTCCACTGGATCTCGCATTGCATCAAGCTTTGCTACACACAGTCAGACATGCTGCTTCCAGAGAGCATAAGGGCACACTCAGCCAGAGCCATGGCTACCTCGATAGCATTCCTCTGCAAAATACCCATAAGAGACATCTGCACAGCTGCCACGTGGTCTTCCAAGCACACATTTGCAAAGCACTATGCACTTACGCAGGGAGCTGCATGGCCCCAGGGACACTGCTATGAAATCTCTGCAGCTCAGCGGCAGTGCACTGATCTAATGTGGAGCGCCCATGGGGACACTCATCTCAAAGAGCATCAGTTACTATCTAGGTGAGTAACCTCCTCTTTTGGAAGTGAGGGCAGCAAGAGGTTCCCATCGCTGATTAGTAGCTCTGGAGCAAGCTCATATGGCCCCCCTCTGCTGTGGGTCTGGGACCTTATGAAGACAGTGTATAACCCCATGTATAACCAGTTCTGCTCAATGCCTGTTGAAGTGAGTGGGAGTCTTTAATGGGCTGGATATAGAAGCAAAGGGCCCCATTCAAGACTCTAGGACAGAGGTGGGCGAAAGGGCCTCTGCAGGCTGGATCTGGCCCACTAAGAGGGTTGATCCAGCTTGCAAAGGTCCTGCTGCTCCCAGGCCAATCAGGGCCTAGGGCTGGGGGAGCGTGCAGTGCTTAGTCACCCTTGGCGGTTGACTCTAAGCGCTGTGTGTGAGAGGGCAGAGAGTGAGAGACTTTGCACTCTCCTCCCTGCACCCAGGGCCTGGGGAGGGGGGGAAATGCGCAGTCTCCCAGCCTGCCCCTGCCCTGCAAGGAGTGTGTGGCACTTAGAAGCTGCACATGCTCCTTGCAGGGTGGAAGGAGACTTTGTGTGCTCCCCCTACCCCCAAGCTCTGATTGGCCTGGGGTGGGGGGAGCGTGCAAAGTCTCTTCCCGCCCTGCAAGAGGCATGTGGTGCTTAGAGTCAATTGCCAGCTGCTGCTTTGCTGGCAGGTGACTCTAAGTGTGGTGCTCCCTTGCAGGGCAGGGAGCAAGAGACTTTGGGTGCTCCCTCTCCCTCTAGGCCCTGATTGATGTAGGGGTGGGAGAGAGCGTGTGAAGTCTCCTCCCACTACTAGGGGCATAGGTGCCTAGAAGGAACCGCCAGCTGTTTTGAACAGCTGGTGGTCTCTCAGGGAGGGGTGCAAAGACTTCCTCCCGCTCCCTCACCCATAGACCAATCAGGATCTGTGAGTGGGGAAGCATGGAAGTATCATGGCTCCGCCCCTTCTGGGGCAGCTCAGGGCCACTTCAAAAATTTCTGAGGTAGACCCCGGTCAAAAATTATTGCCCACCTCTGCTCTAGGAGCAAAGTGCATTCAATGCTACGCTGGCTTCTCCTTTTGTAACAGGAGAATCTCTCATTACCTGGTGAATAATGAATAGCTCCTGCAGCACTTAAATTTTTTTGAGAAGCTTCCCACCCATTTACTAAAGGTAAAGCTTCTCAGCTTACAAGGGCTGAAAATCTCCGGTACTAAGGTTACAAAAGGAAGGCATTTCTGCATTCAGTAGGACTTTTGGAAGTGCACTGAACCCAGGACCGGTTTCTGACTGGTTACACAATGGCAGTAAAGTGAATAATTTTCAGTTTGTCTGATTGGAGGCTATCTAGATCCCTATTGTAAGAATGGCCCATATAATGAGGAAATATTGAGGTGCCTGTGTTGTTCTTTTATTCCACTTTTTGTTTCTGTAGGAAATATGCCAATGCAATATTACCATCTTCTTTTAAACAAACTCAACTAAAAAATTGTAATGGCTGTTGAAAATAGCAACTTCAGTCCTAGTTAGCATAGGGGAGACGCCAGCATTTATTGTTCAATTTTATCCTATTTTTTCTGCTGAAAATGACAGTGGATCACTATTAGATCTGGGAGAAATGATGTAACAGCAGCCCTAATTAAACTTGAGCATCCCTACATTTTGAGGATGTTCAAATCTGGCAGGCAAGTGCTAGATCCCCGTCCCAAATATTAGATAAATCGGGAAAGGAAAAGCCAATTTTGGCTTCCATGGCTTAGAAATGGAAATTGAATCAAATCCTCCAGCGTGCCTGGTATTATACCTAAAACTGTGCTAGGTCCTGTAAGAGAGCCTTCCCTCCCTTACTTGCCATTTTAACTTCTCCTGGTGGGGTCCACGTACGTTCCTTATTAGGCTTCAAATAGAGGTGCCTGATCCATTCAGTCAACCCAATTCTTTTTTTAGGGGCTGCCAGCCAAAGCCACCGGCATCCCTAATCTGGACTAAGGATGTTAACTAACATGTATTTGTGTGAATGTGTAACCACCATTTACATGCAGGGAAGGACAGGCAGGAGCCAGTGTTGCAGCTCCTGCCTGTCCCTGCTGCCTCATAAAGACGCAGCAACTCAGGGAGCAGATGGCTCCACAGGAGCCAGTTCTTGTGGGGAGCCATCTTTTAAGCTGACTCCCTCCCAAGCACCAGCTCCCATGTGACTCCGAGCACTGCTGCTTCTGATAGAGGCAGCAAGGGGGGTGTGGGTTCATGTAGCTGTTAGGATTAAACGATTAACCCAGGCTTATCAGTTAATCATGTAAATGACTACAAGCTAACATTCCAAATCCAGTCTGGGGAAGTCTTCTGAGGATGGTATTTGGGCCAAAGGCAAGGTCCTTGGGAACACATGTTGATGTTCCTCATTCGCAGTGCTACCCCCTTCTAGCAGTCAGAACTCTCCATTCACAGCAAGTGCCATGCACACGTGTCTCAGCTTCCTCCTCCCTTTCCTGTTGTTAGCTGCCAGGGGAATGCTGGGAGATATAGTTCCTTCCCTGATCTAGGCCCTGCTCTCTAGACAGGGAGCTGGCCAAGGAACTACAGCTCCCATGGTACCGTGGGCTCTCACATCCCATGCTGGATCCTTGTTGCTTGGATGCTCACTCTCAGGACTGTCTTCCCCTCTCAGTGCCATGAGAGGAAAGAAAATACATGAAATGGGCCCCTTCTGAGCCTGGGCCTGGCACCATGAAGCCATTGGTGCCATGGTAAATCTGCTACCGATTCCAAATTTGATGAACAGCACAAAAGTGATAACAATTAATCTAGATTTTTTTGACAATTGTATCAATTGCTGTATTCAAGAGTTAGTAGCAAAGAAAGACTATCAATTGCAATTCTAAACTTAATCAGTGCCCATTAAGTGACCTGAGACAAGATATCAGAACACATTAGTATTAGAGCAGAGTGGATTTAATATTACTTTTTTTCCTCTTTATAAAGGAACTAGACATAGTGTTCCTATCAGATAATTTCTAAGTTATCAGTGTGTGCACGTGCACACACACACAAAACCACCCATGCCACCAACAACAACCTAGAGTTCTAATGTGTCAAAATAGCTCCTGCAATCATAGTTAAAGTTGTCCCTCCCTCTCTGTACCAAAACATGAAATGTCATCCCTGAAGTTGAATCCAGAGATTTTGTTCAAGCCAGTAAAGACCTACACACATTAGGCCTGGAGCTGAAATTTTCCAGAGCTCGGATTTCTGAGTTTTGGTTAGTTCCCATCTGTGTTTCTTTTATTCAACTTGATTTGAACCATCTCTGGTCAGGAAGTAGTAAGCGGGATTGTTTAGTGTGGTTCCAGATTGCCAGAGGCCACCACAAAAGTGAGAGCTTTGCTCAGAAGTGATTGTGTATTTTTGTTGCTATTCTGTGATTTGCCTCTTCCCCTGGGGCCAGTTACCCTCCTCCCATCTGTTCAGTACATCTGTCACTTTTGAACTTGTTTGGAGTCTATGAATGCAGCCTTTTGATCAAAATTAATGAATGTGCATTAAGACAGCAGTCCTCACTTCAGTGCTGAGGGAAAAGGGGATTTGAGGATGGAGATACCAGCAGTGTTAATGTCCTTCAAAAGATGTTTATTCCCCAAGGTTTTGATATATGGGACCTGGATTAGCTTTTATCAGTCAATTGTGCTGTGCACGGGTCTCAGTTGGAGTTTTGATATTGACTTAAGTGAGTGCTAGATCAGACCATAGTTCGTAATACACATTACCTTTCTCCTACATATCTGGGCTAGTGAATCCCTGCAGTATCTAAATGAATCTTACCTTGTGAGACAAATAATAATGTCATTACATCATTGTATAAAAACGTGGTATCCTCTCACCACAGTGAAACAACACCACATCAGATAGCTGCAGCATTACAACATTGCAGGGCCATAAATAAATCTGGGACAATAAGGCTGTGTCTACACTGGCGCAGTCTTGCACAAAAGCGGACACAAAAACTTGCTGCCTGTCTACACTAGCCGTGAGTTCTTGCACAAGTACACTGACGTTCTAATGTATTAAATCAGTGCTTCTTGCGCAAGAACTCTGATGCTCCCACTCAGGAATAAGCCCTCTTGCGCAACTGTTCTTGCGCAAGAGGCCAGTGTAGACAGGCAACATGAATTTCTTGCTCAAGAAAGCCCTATGGTTAAAATGGCCATCAGAGCTTTCTTGCGCAAGAGAGCATCTACACTGGTATGGATGCTCTTGCGCAAAAGCACATCTCTTGCACAAACGCACATGCCAGTGTAGACACTCTCTTCTGGAAGAGTTTTTGCACAAGAACTGTTCCGCAAAAGAGTTCTTGCGCAAGATCATGCCAGTGTAGACGTAGACTAACTGCCCTGTGAGCTGGGCTTGCAGAATGGGCAGGTGAGAAGCTAGGACTGTCTCATAACTTCTGAAATGGGTGGATGACCCTAGCCTGGTTGGGGATATTTATTTTGTCCATGAATCTGTTTCAGGGACCTTTCCAGAATGGTCAGTGCCCAAGTGTTTCACCAGAAAGAGGAAGAGTATCAGAAGCTGAAGAAAGAGAAAGAAGTCTTGGAGCAAAGGTGGGGGGATCTATAAATATTTCCTCCAGAGCTTATCTTTCTACAAGGAGCCTGATCTCCTCCTAAAGCTGGTAACTCCTCTAATGCCCCGCTCGCAGTTGATGTGTCCCCTCCCCAAATTCTCAGCCTCTATGGGTCATGTGCACTACTGGCCACTGGGAACTGGATAATGTGATCCTAGAAAGTGGACTCTGACAGCTCCATGTCTGTCTCAGTATCCAAATGCAGAGGAAAGAAACAAGCTCCCACTGAAAAGCTCTTTAGATCATGCTTGTTGAACATTGCTGCGAATGTGATATTTTTCCAAACAGAAGCTGTCACACCTGGATTCTTAATGGTCAAAGAATGTCAGTTTGGGGTTGGGAAGTGCGGAGCGGAGGTTTTGTACTTATGAATTACATGACAATCCTTAAAATGTTTCTGGCTTATTATTACTTATCTCTACATGAATTAAATCTCTATTAGTTTTGGTGTTTGTTCTTTATACCTGGCTCTTTCATTTTTAAATAACCATTTTAACCCCTTTTTGGCCCTAGATTGCACCATATCTTAGCCAAGGCAATGGAAAGCCATAAGTTCTCTGAGAACTTGAATGATCCCTGTCGATTATCAGCTGTGCTGGAGATGTATGACAGGCTCAAGACGCATGAGTGGGAGAAAGCCAAATGTGCTGCAAGACTCTCCGGCTTCTCAATGACATATAAAGATGGTAGCACCATAATTAAGGTTTGTTCCTGTTGGAATTCTAGAACTGAAATATATAAAGGTCTTGAGAAAATAATAGCACTGTAAGATCCAGTCTAATGACTTGGCATTTAGTACTTGCATGATCAAGCAAGAAACTAGGTGCGATCCAAAAAACCTCTTGATGCCAACTGGCAGAAGGTGTAGAGGTCCAGGGATCCCCTGGGTTCATCAAAATGATATCATGTATGGTCTCTAATGATAACCTGTGTCTCATGTGACATCATGATCACTGTAAAAGGAATGTATGGAGAATGTGTGAGGAGTTAAATGTATCTGCTGAAAATTAGGTTCCATAGGACTTACCATTGAATGCCAGTCACTCAAAGGCAGTACACCCTGAGACAAACTCTCCAGAAAGGAAGAGGAAGATACTTATCTCTCTGGTGGGTCATTGCGTGTCGTATAATAAAATTCTATTCGCATACTGAGTCAAAAGTTCAATAAGAGTTTGCAGAGACTTCCCAAGGAAATTAAATAAAAGAGAGAAACAGCTTTGAGAGCCCTGTTTTCAGATGAACATCCAAAGTCAGGCCTTGTCTATTGTGGGGTGCAGAGAGATGCTCTGGTGTCCTTCAATTTGGGAATGCAAGTTTCCAGCAGGCTTGATCTTATGATGGGGGGGAAGGTAAAAGGACTTGAAAAGGACTTTAAGATAAGCTATTATGTAAGAAAGTTGTTTTCAACCAGGGCAGATACTTGTACCTTTGGGGGTACACAGAGGACTTTCATGGGGGAAATCAACTCATCTAGATATTTGCCTTGTTTTACATCAGACTACATGTAAAACAGTAGGGAAGTCAGTACAATGACTGGTTTATACTGCTTTATATACTATATGCTGAAATGTAAGTATAATTAATTTATTTTAGCTATATGTGGTAAAATGAGGACAGAATCAATTTGTCTGTAACAGTGTGCTCTGACACTTGTGTATTTTTATGTCTGATTCTGTAAGCAAATGATGTTTCAGTGCAGTGAAACTTGGGATATGTAAGTCAAATCAGACTCCTGAAAAAGGATACAGTAGCCTGGAAAGGTAGGAACCACTACTGCAAGGGATGGGTGAATAACTTGTGAGTTTAGTTAAGACTCTATCGGTAGTATTATGGTTTTGTTTTCTATGTAACTATTTGTTTCCTATATCCTTTCTAAAATCTTATTCTTCTTTCACTGTTAATATATCTAAGCGTTATGTGTTAAATGGAGTTGTGATCCTGAGTTGAATCTAGTAAAGTGGTGTGTACTATTTCTCTGGCAGCAAAGAATCTGAGAAATTTTCTTTGAATGATGTCCCCATGGGTGCTCCACTTTATTTGCACCTCTCTGCCTCTGATTGGCAACTTTAAATAGGAGTGTCCCTTTGGCCTGTACATTCGCTCTCCCTCTCACATGATCTGTCTTGAGTCTGACTAGTGCTGTATAGGTGAGCCACCCTCTCTGTTCCTTCTCAATTGTCTTTGGCCTCAAACAGAATATGTTGCAGTCCATTGACTACTTAACTGTCTTTATATTGCTAGGGGTTAGTTAAGAGTTCACAGTGATTTGCAGTTTCCTTTTCTTTTGTAGTGCCTTTAGAGCTTCCGGTTTTTCAATTTAAAAAAATACTTTTTTTCTTTCAATTGTTTTTTCACCACCTTATGCTGTGTGATTGAACTTAAAGGGGTGCCGGGAGGCAATCTCAGTGATGGATGGACATTCTCGTTGTGTCGGGTGCCTTGGAGAGGCATGTGTTCCCCAGAAGTGCACCTTCTGCCAACAACTACAAAAGGCTAGATCCTGAAAGAAGTTCATTAATGGTACCCTAGGAGCAGGGCCATCCCAATGGGGGCCTGGGGCCCAGGTCAAACCCCCACCACAGGCTTTCCCTTCCCCCACCCATCTCACCCCAAGCACTGGCCCTTCTCTACTCGTGCCCCCTTGTCCCCTTCCCCAAGCAACGTGGCCAGGAGGACTATAGGGACCTGGCATGGTGGCAGCAGGGTTCACCTCCCCCCCTACTTTGTGCTGCTACACTACCCTTCTGGCCTGCTGTGCCTTGGTTCCCCATGAGCAGCAGGAACTGGAGGGCCCTGGGATGAGGCACTGTGCTTCGTGCCCCAGCTGAAAAGCGAGGTGCAGCAGGCCAGGAGAAGGCAGTGCAGTGGGGTGAAGCAGGTGGCTGGGCTGCTCCAGCTCCTGCTGCTCACATGATGAGTGGGGGTGGGGAGGCAATCCCTGTTGCTGCCCTGTGCTAGGCCTCTGTAATCCCCCAGATCCCTCCTGTCCATAGGATGGTTGGGGTGGTCACCGCGGGGCCTGGGACTGCTGCCTCAGTTTGTCCTATGGATGGGACAGCTCTGGCTAGGAGTTCCTTTCCTGAGGCACCTTATGGTCGTGGAGGAACCAGAGTCCCTGCTACTTACTACTGGGAATCCAGTCCTGAGCGCACCTCGGTCCCCAGAATCACCAGCAGCACTGGGCTGTTCGCCGTCAGAGCACCAATCGGCTCCACCCTTCTCCAGTAGGAATTGGACCGTGTCCGAGACAATATTCTGTCTCTGATCTCACGACATAACCCACCATTACAACATTGGGACTGCACCTTCTCTCTGACCCTCAGTCTCCCTTGAATGGTCACTGTGGATATCACTCTCCATGCTCTTACCCCTCCAGTGGGCATAGTGGAATCCACGGGCAGTCTACAGCTCTGTGCTTCTCAGGCATCAGGTGTCTCCCATAGACAGCCCACTAGATGTTTCCCTCTGGCTCCAGCATCTAGGGCCCTGGAACCCAAAAAAGAAACTTGAGGAGCAGGAGGCTAGACTAGAAATGGAAACTATCCCACTGGCAAACATCTCCTTCTCCTCACCACATGAGATGGTAATGTCCCATCTTCTGCCACTGGCTGATGACTGTGAGCTCTTCCAAACCTTACTAACAGGATGGAGGTTGCACTGCAAACAGAACCTGCGGAAGAACTTCCACCCTGAGGAGCACTAAGAGCCTCCCTGGTCTGCCCCATTGGGGGATTGTGCCTCATTCCTCCCTCACGTCCTTCCACTTACCCCTCCCTAACCCCCCTTCCTGATATAAAATAAAATACATGTATTTTCATGAACACAAACTCTCTTTATTTAACAAAATTGGGAGGGAGGGGAATGAAACTAGTGAGACTGGGGAAAGGAGGTAGGATGCAAGGTGCGTTTCTGTAGCTTGGGCGCTCGGGAGGGAGGGGAATGAAACTAGTGAGACTGGGGAAAGGAGGTGGGATGCAAGGTGCATTTCTGTAGCTTGGGCGCTCCTACAGTGACATTTGATTCTCTAATGCAGATGAGGGACAGTGACATTCGATTCTCTAATGCAGATGAGGCTCAAGCGCTTGGGGCACTAGGCTTCTCATTTGTTCCTGATCAATATATACAGTGATCTCTTGTTTCCTTTGACCCCAGGCTGTGTTTACCAAATGTGAAGGAATGCTGTCACAAAGAATGGATCAAATCCGTAAACTCCTGGAATGTCCAGTTTTGAAGGAAACCACGACCCAACAGGTATTTAACATTACAGCACATTAGGACGTGGGTAGCAGAGGGGAGCTGGGTAACCTGTCTAGATCTGTCATCTCTACAGCCTTATGCACACAAGGGAAATTTTCCAAGTCTCCCCTGGTTGCTAAAACTGGTTCAGCTCCACCAGCCTGAGAGATGCAGGGAGCCCTAACATAGACAGGCAGCTACAGTGGAAATAACCTGAGTTAAATTGTGAGCTGTGTGGGACAGGCAGAGTGGAGGGGAGAATGGTGATTCCTTTGTTTGTAATTGGTGTGACAGGAGAATGGTTGAGTTATATGTAGTGTGGTGAGTCACATAACTGAGACACTAATCCTGTCATTGACTGGCTAGAATGCACTTACAAGACTTAGGTCTCATCTACACTGGCAAGGTACAGCACAGTAAATCAGCTCTCAGTGCTGTAACTTCCGAGGTGTGCATACTGACAAGGCACGTAGTGCCACTAACTCTACACTTGCTGTGCTCTAGTAAACCATCACAACTATTCCCAAGAGGTTCAAGCTTGCCAGTGTGGACACTGTGGTGTACTACAGTGCTGTGACAGGCCTTCAGTACCTATCCCACAATGCCTGTTCTCACCTCTTGGCTCATCAGTTTCAACTCTACTACCGTGCCCTTAGGTGACCAATCCTCTGACCTGCTCTTTTTAATTCCTTGGGAATTTTTAAAATCCTCTTCCTTTTTGCTGGGAGATGTATGGAGTGCTCTCATCCCACCTTTCCAGGGGACCATGACTGCTTTGTGCATCAGGTGATCTCCCTCCATGGAGCCACGATGAGGTGCTGGACCTCCTCAGCATTTGGGGAGAGGAGGGCTGTCCAGTCCCAGCTGCATACCAGCTATAGGAATTATGATACCTACAGGCAGATATCAAGATGCATGACTCAACAGGGCCATGACTGGGATGCACTGCAGAGCAGGGTCAAAGCGATGGAGTTGTGAAATGCCAACCACAAGGCGCAGGAGGCAGATAGCTGCGCCAGTGCTGCATCCACAACCTGCCAGTTCTACAAAGATGAGTGTTACGTACTTGGGGGTGACCCCATCTCTGCTGTGAAGACCCCTGTGGATACTTCAGGGGCCATCTCCGATTGAACTGACCCAGGAGGAGGAAATTGTGGATGAGGGTGCTGAGGGGAATGGGAACCCAGAGCCAGAGGACAACTCAGCATCCACAGATGCATGCAGTCAGGAGCTCTTTTCCATCCTGGAGGATGCCAGCCAGTCGCAGCAGTTGGAGGTTGGGGGAAGTGCAAACAGTGGAGGATGCCCCTGGTAAGTGGCTTTGATTTCTGAAAGCACTGGAGCCAGTTATTGGGCGTGGGAGGGTTGCAGAGAGCAGGCTTGGGTCTGTGTGGTGCTAGCACTGACACAGGGCTAGTCAGATGCTGAATAGGGCATTGATGAGCTCTCTCATTGCACAAGTGATCAGCCTCACAGATCTCATAGATTTCAGAGGGGCAGCCAAGTTAGTCTGTAACAGGAAAATCTTAAAAAATAACAAATGGTCTAGTAGCACCTTAAAGACTAACAAAACATGTAGATGGTATCATAAGCTTCTGTGGGCAGAACCCACTTCTTCAGATAACCAGAGTAAAATCTCATGCAGATACTGGACAAATGACCATCACAGGTTCCTTGGCAGAGGTGTTGTGTTCATTGTCCCAATGAGGGTAACATTCCCACACTGCTGTGCCGGAAGAGGAGGGGACCCTGGCTGCACACAGGAAAGCTACATAAGGACTAGGAAGGTGCAACCACGCAAAAGACCATCCCTTGTTTCCCTGCTCACCCTCAGCAGTGAGAGATCTTCTAGGGAGAATACAGCCACTGGAAAATGTGTGGCATCACTGATTATAGGGCTGCCCTGCAGTGTTGGCTCTCCCCAAGACAGGAGTCCAGAACACAGCAAGGTGCTACACCAATAAATTCCCTGCCCAGATGGTTAGCACATCATTTGGGGGAGAGGGTCGGAGGGTCTTGTATATTATGTGTGCTTGCCCTGGGACAGCCAGTTAGTGATAGGAATGCAAACTGGGTAGTGTACACAATGGTGCCTCTGTAAAATGTTGCGTTTTGGCTTCACAGATTTAACTTTGGGATCCCAGCCTGCCTTGCTGTCTCCAGTGGAACAGCTGCGCTGAGCAAGGAAGCGACCTCTGTAAAGTGATGTCATGTGAGGTTCTGCTGCAAGCTGCCACTGAAAAGAAAGAATTGAAGGATTGGAGGAACAACGAGAGGAGGGAATGGAAGGAGAATGCTGAGAACTGGATGAAGCTGTTAAACATAATTGAGCGCTAAGCTGACCCACTCCAGGCACTTCTAGCATGGCAGACAATGCAACTCCGCAACCACCACACCCTGCAGCCGCTGTCCCAAAACTGTTTTCCATGCACCCCCTTGTCTCCACCAACACATTTTGGCCACCATCCTGTCCCCAGTCATCACCTGCTGCATTCCACACCTACCCCTTCACTGTTCAGCCCTGCAGATTCCCACCAGCACCCAGTGTACTCAGCCCCTGTCCCCGTGCAGTTTAGCCCTGCTGAAAGGCAGCTCCCATTGCATGGCACATCAGACAGCAGACCTGCATCTGATACCTGGACATACACAAATCTGTAAATGTGCCAACTCCTTCCTCCTCCCTCCCACAAAGTACAGATTTGTCATGTTGTGTGCGCATCCTATGTTTGTTGTTTATCACTAATGGAAGTCTTGGGTTTGGGAGAAATCTTTATTCCATCACATGAAAGCAAGCATAGCTCAGTAAAGCTGCAGGCTTTCTTCTAATCAGTGCATCATACAGACCAATCACAGTTACTTAGCCGCATCTCAGCCACTGCACTCCTGTGCATGGCAACAAATATTACTGGCCTTCAGCATCAAATCGTTGCCTGAAGGCATCTGTGATGGGGTGGGTGTGCCCCACACTCAGACCAGTGCGATGCCAATGCTGTGGGGCCAGTTGTGGGTGCGGGAGAAGCAGCGACAGTGCAGCACAGCACCTGTTGGGCCCCAGCGAAGGGAGATCGCGGGGCGAACACGCCATTTACCCAAACCAGCGTTAGGCCAGCGCTGTGGGGTCAGCCGGGGCTGCGAGAGCAGCAGTGTGAGCACAGCACCTGTGAGGAGGCGGCACGGGAGCATGACGTCACCCGAGGAGGGAGAGCTGGTGGAAGAGCTGATGCACCAGAACCCCGCTGCTGGGGGCATGCAGTCGGCGGGGAATTCAAAAGGGAGGAAAAGGCTGGAACTAAGGGGGAGCGAAGGGCGAGGTGTGAGAGTGAGCAAGGAGGTGAGGCAGACATAGACAGAGGAAGCATGGACGGAGGTACAGAGAACGCTGGAGGCGGGTAGGAAGTGGCCCAGGACAGGGTTGTGAAGCCTGCGGGCTGATGTATTTAGGGGCGACTCTCCTGTCATCCAGGTAGGGGAGATTGGATCCCCATTTTAGGGCCCTGGGCCAGGACCGGGGAGTGAGGGTGGGCCCAGGTCTCCCTACCCCGCCCCCTCGACTAATCCTTTCTAAGTGGTGTGGAGGTAAACCGGAGTCGCAGTCCCTGTGGCACAGGTGGCTAATGGCACTCCGGTCCCGGGGATGAGTAAAAGGGACTAACAGCGGCCTCGTTTGGACTAGGGCGGGCGCCAGCTTATTCAAGTGGAAGGGCATAAGAACAATAAACCCAGTGAAACGCATGCCCTGTGAGCACGCTGTGTAACAGCATCCCTGAGACCTTTAGCCCCACACTGGGCCTCTCCGATATCTCTGGTCTCAGGCTGCTCAAACTCAGCCTGCTGGCACCGAGCCTCAGCAGCCCCACCCTGAGTGAAGCTTTTAACCCTTCCCGTCACACGCATTCTGGAGGGTGCAATGCGCATGGCAGCGAGTGAATGCAGGGCTAGGGGAGGCAAAAGGGGTAGACAGGGTCTCCCAGGGTCACAATGTCCAATTCCACTTCCTCTAGGGTACAGTTTCCTAACCTATGGGTCAGGACCCAAATATGGGTCGCCATTACATTTCAAAAGGGTTGCCAAGTGTCTCCCCAGGTGGCTCTGCCCTCCCTCTTCCACCCATTTTTGAATTACTCTGGGTCACCAAGTCTTCCTGAATTGTCAAAATGGGTCCCCATCTGGAAAAGATTGGGAACCACTGCTCTAGGGTGATCTTCTGGTCTGGGAAGAAAGTGCCTGCTTGCAGCTTCCTGACCAGGCCAGTGTTCTGAAAGATGCTTGTATCCAGCACCTTTCCGGACCAGCCTGCATTAAACATCCATGACATGCCCATGGTGATCTACAAGCACTTGGGGAGCCACGGAGAAACACCCTTTCAGATTAATGTACTCTGTGGCGAGGTGGTCTGGCACCAGAATTGGAATGTGTGCTATCTATCGCCCCTTCGCAGTTAGGGAAACCCATCTGTGCAAAGCTATCCACAATTTCATGCCCAGTCTCTCAGTCTGTCCCAACTGGGTGTGATTGATGGCACTATGCACCTCCATCAACGTGAGTCCAACATTGACTTTCCCATTCCAAACGGATTGATGACACATCAGTAGCTGCCTGGAGTAGCCAACTTCCACAGTGTGACCACCCCATATTTCTCCACCAGCAGGGCAGCTCTCATTCACGTGTCCTTGTGCCCCTTGGTGGGCACACAATCCCATGAAAGTGGCTTTCCTCATATGAAAGTTCTGCAGCCACTGCTCATCATCCCAGGATTGCATGAGGCTACGATCCCACCACTCAGTGCTTGTTTCCCAAGCCCAAAAGCGACCTTCCGCTCTGGTCAGCACCTCCATGAACATCATAGCTCCTATTCATGTCTAACTCCCAGGGCTCGCCGAACCGCGGTGAGCCCTGCTCGCCAGCCACGCTGTCTAGCGATCTGCGCATGCGTAGATCGCCCGAACCCAGCTCTTCTGGGTTGCAATCTACTCGCCACGAGTGAGCAGATTGCATTATTTTTTGAGCCCTGCTAACTCCATATCATCACTTTAGCTTAAGGAATAACTCGACTGCCATTCGTGACATTAGTGAGACCTATCAGCATTCCATTCCTGCACACTGAGGAAGCAGAGACCGCAGCTCAAAATCCTTTGAAAGATGGTTCCAACTGCAGATGGAAGTGCAGGGGTTGTTGGGATGTGAAAGGATGCACCACAGGGTATTGGGACAGGACCCAGGATGCCTTGTGCCTCTGCTCCCCATTCCCATAAGCCTCAGCAGGAGAAGAGGAAAAGGTGCTCTGTGGGATAGCTGCCCTAAGTGCACTGTTCCAAACACCACTGCAAGGCTGTGTCTAGACTGCAGGCTTCTTTCGAAAGAGGCTCTTTCGAAAGCATCTTTCGAAAGAGCCTCTTTCGAAAGATCGCGTCTAGACAGCAGGCGGATCTTTCGATAGAGGAAATCCGCTTTTTCGAAAGAGAGCACCCAGCGAGTCTGGATGCTCTCTTTCGAAGACGGCCTCTTTACATTGTAGAACGCCTTCTTTCGAAAGAGGAACTTTCGAAAGAAGGCGTTCTTCCTCGTGAAACGAGGTTTACCGCCATCGAAAGAAAAGCCGCGTTCTTTCGAAATAATTTCGAAAGAACGCGGCTTGAGTCTGGACGCAGGGGAAGTTTTTTCGGGAAAAGGCTACTTTTCCCGAAAAAACCCCTGAGTCTGGACACGGCCCAAGTGTGGTCACGCTACAGCACTGGCAGCTGACAACGCGGGCACACAATGGCGATTTCCCTGCAGCACTCTGTGAGCAGTGCTGTATATCTGCCAGTGTAGACAAAGCCTTCAAAACATCCTTCCATGCCCATGTCCAGGGCTCGACAAATCCATGTGTCTACTCGCCCCGGGCGAGTAGATTTCAGCTGGTCACCCCATTCACCACTGGCACGCGCATGCACAGTGCGGGTCTGGCACATGCGTAGTGCGGGGCTGGCGAGTGGATTTTGCCACGGTTTGTCAAGCCCTGCCCATGTCCAAGTCTGGGCATTTCTCCAAATCCTTGGAGCTGGACATATTTGTCTCTCTAAACAGGACCTTTTCCTTTGAAAATCAGGAAGTGGATTTTGCCCATTTCCTAACTTGGGCTATTTTGTTCTTTGTTTGGTTTGTAGCTCTCCCTTGAGCTGGCACAAGACATAAAGAATCACTTAAAAAATCTCTATTTTAAGTTGGGAGAAGACTTCTATCAAAGCCTGAGTCTGGTGAGTAAAAATCGGGCCTGGGAACAGGGTGTGCTTCCAAATATGTCCGTGAAACTCATGATATTAAGAGACATACCACTGGGTTCAGTATTGTACTGTCTACTTCTTCTAGGGGGCTGGTAGTCACCAAACCTCAAGAATTTTTCTGTCCAGACCCTCCCTTTTACTCCTCTTTCCATGCCCCTCAAAGCTGACTTTGTGGAAACCCTTCTGGCTGAGGAATTCTTCCCTTTACACCCTGCTGATGCCAATCTTTACATTAAGTCTGGAGGGGCACCTTTGGTTTCCATATTGGACAATGAGAGGTACACAACTCCTGCCTTGTGTTACGTGGAATACAGTAAAGGGGAGGGGGCAGAAGTGTAGCAAAGAGGGTGTGAGGGGGGGCAGTTGCCCCCGGGCACCACGCTAGGGGGGCGCCAGGCTGAGGTGGGACCAGAGCACATGCTGCTCTGGCCCACGAGACACTTTGAGCCGAGATCCAGGACTCGGAGCTCGCTACTTGCTGCCTCCCTCTACGCCTGTGGTCACCAACCCGTCAATCGGGATCAACTGGTCGACTGGGAGGGCCCGGCCAGTCGATCGTGAGGCATTTGGGGACCCCTAATTCTCCCCACCCCTAAGAAACCCCACTGCCTTCTGCCAGTGACAGGATGAGCATCCCCTTGTGAGGGGGTGGGGGTAGGAGTCCCCAGAGCAGGCAGAGTGCTGGGACAAGCTTCCCTTATGGGGGGGAGGGGGTAGCAGTCCTTGGAGGAGGAGAGTGCAGGGGACTCCCTGTTCCCTGCCCCCACCAACACCCTGTCCCCTGCTGTAGCACCCACTGGCAGCCTGCTACCTGCCTCATCAGCCTGTTCCCTACCCCCACTAACACCCTGTCCCCTGCTTCAGGAGGGTGTTTTTTGTTTGTTTGTTTGTTTTTTGCATCTCACTTGTGTAGCCCCAACTGACTTTTCTGTGGGTCAGCGACCCCCACTCAAGACAGGTTCCCCACCCTTCTCATAAATAAAAATGATGCTGAAACTTTGTGTTTGACATAATATTTTACTTAAAAATGAAGCCTGGCCAGCAAACCCCCAATTGGGGCCAAGCCCCCTTCTGGTCACAGAATCATAACACTCCTGTACCGCCTATCATCTGAGCCTATCATACACTGGAACCACCTGTCCTGAGCCTCTCACATCCCCAAACTCCCCCCCCTGCCACATCCTCAGTCTTTTGCCACAACACTCCTACATCATCCACATACCACAAATCTGTGTCCTGAGCCCATTATACTCCCAACCTTCCTGCCCTGGGCCCCTCACACACCCCAACTCCAAATCCTGCACCCTCACATCCACAAGCCTGTGGCTTTCTCAGCACCCCCACCCCCCCCCTGAGCCCAACACTCCCCCGCCTGGAGCCCCCTCCGTCTTTTGCCACAACACTCCTACATCATCCACATACCACAAATCTGTGTCCTGAGCCCATTATACTCCCAACCTTCCTGCCCTGGGCCCCTCACACACCCCAACTCCAAATCCTGCACCCTCACATCCACAAGCCTGTGGCTTTCTCAGCACCCCCACCCCCCCCCTGAGCCCAACACTCCCCCGCCTGGAGCCCCCTCCCCAAGCCAGCATCCCCTTCTCCACCTCCTTCTGCATCCAAGTTCCCTGTCAGAGCTTGCACCTCTCATCCCTTCCCACATCCAAGTCCCTCAATCCCACCCCAGCACCCACACCTCCTGTCTCAAACCAGTGAGGGTATGGCTGAGTGTACGGCTAGACTACAAGAGTTTTTCTGGGATTCCAGAGGTGTCCCGGGAAAACTCTTCCATGTCCAGAGACTCGTTTATTCTTCCGCTTTTTTTTAGCAGAAGAGCAAACATGCTCTTTCGGCAACCTCTGTATTCCTTGTTCCATGAAGAATATGGGGGGCTTCCAAAAGAAGGTTTTTTCCTGACATTTGGCCCAGTCTAGAAAGGCCAAATGTTGGAAAAAACTCTTCCTACAGAAGAATCGGGGGGAAAAAAGCAGCAGTGTAGCCATACCCTGAAAGTGTATAAGGGCCAGGGATAGCAAGTGACGGAGAGGAGGAGAACAGAGAGAGCAGGGCTTCAAGGAACGGGTGGGGTCTTGGGGGAAGAATGGGTAGATCTCGGCTTGTTCTGACATTTAAAAAGTGATCTTGGGCTTGAAAAGGTTGGAGACCACTGCTCTACACACTGTGAACCGAGGCAGCCAAGCTGGGTGATGATGCCTCCCTCTACACAATGCGAGCTGAGGCAGCCGGGCCAGGCAGCAGGAGCAGTGACTTTAAAAGTAAGATTAACTTACCTGGCTGTCCCGTTTCTCCAGTGCCTGGCTCTGCGGGGCAGGAGGTGATTTGATTGGGGTGGGACTGGGGATGCCTGGCTCAGGGGGAGGGGTGAGTGCATTGGGATGGGAGGTACTGGGGGGGCCTGACTCCAGGGCAGGGGTGGTTGTGTTTCACTTAAAAGTACTGCATGGGATCTTTTCATGGGGGAAAGGCAAAATGCCACATTTATTGGTGATACTCCCATATAGCAGTCAACACTTATATGCATATAATACAGCACACACATGGACACACACACCATGTCTTGTTTTTACCAATAGTTGTTCCACCTAACTGCACTGGCCAGGTTAGTTAGGTGGGGGAGGATTGGAGCCGGATCAGTGTTCCCATGTTGACTGAAAGATGCAGATGTTTAGTGTCTTCCCTCTCATGCAGTATCATCATATGCATATGCAGTTATTCATCTGTGACACCCTCTTCTGGATGTTATCTTAATGCTGCCCCATTCACCTTCAAAGAGGGAGCTTCCAAAAGCAGGCACTTGCAGCTTACTCCCAAGGCATCCATAGGTCCACTCTTCTTTTAATGAGCCCACTTCACAGTTCCCATTGTTCTTATTGTTCTTGAATCTGGCTTCCTCCTTTCTCCAACCTTGCAGGTGCCCAGAGGTGCTTGTCTTTCATACCTTATCCATCACACCTCATTCACTCAACAGGACAATCAATTTAGCAAAAGGGGGTACAAAGTCTACACGACACAATGTTTCTATGTAAAAAGGTTTAATACAAAGTTTCTGTGTTCTATAAAAGTATACAAAGTTTCTATAAAAGGACTTAATACAACAAACTAAAGACTTATTACAATGCTAAAAGGACTTGATACAAAGGTAAAATAAAAAAATTCAATGAGAAAATGATTAATACAGAGACTGAGATTTACCTACAGTTGCATTGGTATGGAGAGGGCTGGGGTGCCTGCTCTGGGGAAGGGGTGGTTGCATTGGAATGGGGGGTGGGTGGCTCTGGGGCAGGGGTGAGTGCATTGGAATTGGTGGCGCTGGGGAACCTGGCTGAAGGGGGCAGGGTGAGTCCATTGGGGTTACTTATAATTTTTTTAACATAAAAGATACTTTATAACAAAAGGAAAAACTTAAAAAACAGTCTGGTAGCACTTTATTTTTTTTGCTGACTTAGAAATAATAACAGATCCACAATAACAAATGATTGGGGGGGTGTGTGCAAATTTGGCCTTTGACCCCAGGCGCATAACATCCTCGCTATGCCTCTGGGGGGGGGGTTCAATAACCATGTTGCAACTTTACAAGACCAGACTCTGGCCTGTTTCTTGTGGTATCTGTTTCTATGGGCTGCAGTGGAGCCGCTTCATCACTTTGCAGCTCTTCTTTCTCTCATCCCCTGCAAAGCTGTTTGGATCTGGGGATCAAAGGCAGCCCAGGGCTACTAGAATGTCTCCAGATGGGAGATAAGAGAAAATAAATATCCTGGGACGTTCCTCTCTCACTGCCATCAGTTCCGGGTTAGGAATTCAGTTATTGATACTAGTCCCTAATTAAAAGCAGCAACATGAGTCAAAGGGCAGTGTCAGTGTCTGCTTTACAATTATAACAACATCACAGAGTTTGTAAGAGAATCACTGTCCTCACTTTATTTTCAGCCTCCTCTTCCTACTGATCTACAGATGTTTCAGCCGCTTGTAAATTTCACAGCTAAGTGCTTTAAAATTTACTGTTTGTTGCTTCTTCAGAACCCACCCGTTAAAGCTGAGTGGCCTGAAAGAATCTCAGCAGCCTGCATAGAGCATGTGGACAATAAAGAGATGGATTGTTCCATGCCAATAAACTTTCTGTGGCCAGTGCTGACATGTGGGGAACAGGTCATTAGAAAGGGTGTAAGCTACGACTAAAAATAATGACTGTTGGGAGTCAAATTATACCATTGTGTCAAAAAACAATTTAAAAAAAAGTAAATCTGCAGCCTAGTAACATCTCTCTCTGTGTCTTTCTTTTCTTTTTTTTAAATCCAGCAAATGCCAGGGTTTTAGCTCTTGTAATTTAGCTTTAGTGGTAACACATAGGGTTTTAAACATCTCCAGGTATCTTATGGAAAATATTTTTCTTAGGAATACTTTTGCACCTGCCTGTATGAAATTGTAGGTACTTATCATCCCTGATTAACTTCCAAGTGCCATTTTTCTCCAAACAGAATCTAAATTTTAAATTATCTGCTGTTTGTTTATCATTGGGAATCACAGTCCACTGCATGTGACATTGTCGCAATATCGCCACAACAAACAGGATCATGCCTTCTACTGGAGAATAGGCAGCGGGAGGGGATAATGAGCTGTTAACGAGCAAGTATCCTGTTTGTATGAAAATGTCCTTAATAATCAAGGAGAAAAGGGAGATGCCAGACATGGAACTACAAACCTTGAGTTCCAGGACTCATTAAACTCATCAGGATCACAGAGGATAATAGCTAAATTGATACAAGTGACCAGTTATTGATATCAAAGGGTGATTGGAACCCAGGAGAAATGCAGCTTCAGCCCCTATCTACTCATCACAGCCTAGGTGAGAGGTGGGCAATAATTTTTGATGGGGGGGGGCACTCCAAGATTTTGGGAAGTGGTTGAGGGCCACACTCATCCATGATATTAATGGAGATGTGGAGTCTGGAATGGAGGTTGGGTGCAGAAAGGAGCTTGGGATAAGGGACTGGGGGTGCAGGAGGGAGACTGGACTCTGGGAGGGAGTTGGGATGAAGCAGGCGGTTGTGACCTAGGGCAGGGGACTGGAGTGCAGGGGTTTGGGATGTGACCTAGGGTAGGAGGGGATTGTGATCTGGAGCAGGAGATTGGGCTGCCTGATCTGGGAGGTGGTATGAGTTTAAAAGGGGGACAGAAGATTTGAGTATGTGGAGTGGGGGGGGGAAGGAAAGGGCTGGGGTGCTAGAAGCAGGCTCTGGCCAAGAAAATTCCTTGCCAACTGCCATACTAGCCTGCCTGCAGAGGTTAAAGTGTTTCCCAGCCAGCCTGCCTGCTTGCCTTGTGCTTCATGAATAACTGAGCCCAGGAGAGGGGTTGTGATTCTACCAGAAACCGGCCAATGGTAATGTGCTGAGGGCAGGGTGTCTCCTAAAACTTCCCCCCTTCCCTCCAGTTTTAAAATCAAAATGGAGCCCTGCCAGCCACATTTCTGCACGGTGTATGGGGCTGCAGAGCAAGCTGGGGAGCTGGCTGGATGTGTCCTGTGGACTGTATTTTGCCCAGGCCTGGCCTAGTTGCTCTGTGCCAAAGCTGCTATTACATAGGCATAAGCAATGCTCTGAAACCCACAGGCAGATATCAGAAGCCACAAGGAGTTTCCGTAAAAGCTGTATTTTTTTACTAGTAAGGGCCAGGGGCGCACAGAAGGGAAAGGGGGAGTGATAAGAGGGAGTGTGTGTGAGAGAGAATCTTCCCTGTCACCAGCAGCCTCACCTTCCTGATCCAAATGGGCAACATACCACCAATGCTTCAGATACTCTGCCAACATACCCTCAGGAAGTTTAGTTCCCAGCTGACTGAGGCCAAGCCATAGATAAAGGCCCATTTCTGTGCCTTCTTGTGTGGGGCTGGTTTAGCTTCTAAATACTGCACCCATAAAATTGCAGATTTACTTCATGAGCCCTCTCCTGTCCAAGGACTGAATCATCCAAGCATTTTTCCCTTTCCCAAAATAATCCACACCATGCTCGATGGAACTTATATTATTCAGGCATGTCCATCCTTGGAGGCTGAATACCTTTGATGCCATCAGCTCTAAAGGGCTGCTTATCCTTCAACCCACAGAAAAAGGTTAGCAGGAACAGAACCTTCTACTGGCCCAGGGGAGACAGTATTAGCCATGGTCTGGTATCACGAGGTAGCTCCCTGTCTGGGTATGGACTGTTCTGGGGCCTTATGACAGTTCCCAGTTACCCTGTTGCCACAGAAAAAGGGGCGGTCAATACCTCCTCCGTGCCCAACCCTATAGTTAGTCACTAACAATGCAGGTGGGGGCACACAGCACTACTACCAGAATCTCAGGAGGGACTACTGAGGGCATCCCCTCTCCTGCACTCCTGATATCAGGATTTAATTGAGAGGCCTGTGGCCAATCCCTGTGGGCAGCCTACCTCACCGCACGCACCAAAGGGAAAAAGGAAACCCTCCCCGAGTCAATGGACCACTAATCCCTGACACTATAAAAATAAAATAAAATCCCACAATGCTTACTGGACCTAATCAGGGTAATTACTCCTGAGAAGATCCTGCTGCAGTCACCAAAACTGTTACCCAGAGGACAAAGACAACTTGAAGAAAATAGAAATCAAAAGGTGACTCCTGTATGAGAGTAGCGCCTGTTTCAGAGGATGCAGGCACCCTTTTCCTGCATCTATCACCAGTGTGCTGGAGTAATACCTCAGTGCACCCTCCCAGTGTGATACAGAAATAACAAAGAAGGACACTCTAGGTAAGTTAACAAATGTATTAAGGGATGAAAATTACAATAACTGGGAAAATGGGGAATTCAAACAAGACTCGTACAATAACACAAACAACAGTAAGCATCCTTAATCAACAGTAACTGTATAACTGTGCAGGGATTGCATCAAAGAGACATGAAGCCTAGGCCCAGAGACCCACTTTGGCCAAGAAGAAAGGAAGAGATGACAGAAAAAAACAAAGAAATAAACCCCTTTTATACTGGGAGGCGCCGATGGTGCTGTGCTGCTGAGGCCTGGGACCTTCTCCCCTTGAGCTAATTTGAAGCTGTCAGGGAGGAACTCAAGGGAGATCCCAGCGGGGAACTTCTATGGTGATGATCACTGATGGTGTAACTCCCCCTTCCCTTGTCACAGCCACTGTGGTGGTCCGGTGCTGACAGGAGCATAGATGGAAAAGAACACACTGCCAGCAGCTGCGCAGGCCCTTAAATCCTTTCTGCGGTGCATAACTCTGAGGTGATGGTATGTTCTGCTTGGCCAGGAAAAACCAGTTCTAGCTTATGAGAGCCAGCACAGCTCAGAGCCCTGTGCTGCTGACAGGCATTTTGACCAAAATGGAGTCCTTAGGTCAAAAGTTCACTGCCTCCATTTTGAATGGTTTTTACATTAACTCCTTTAGTCCCGACAAAGAAGTTACTTATAAAACTCTGCTTACTACAGGAGGTCCCCGGGTTACGTACAAGTTAGGGACTGTAGGTTTGTTCTTAAGTTGAATCTGTATGTAAGTCGGAACTGGCGTCCAGATTCAGCCGCTGCTGAAACTGACCGCCAGTTCTGACTTACATACAGAATCAACTTAAGAACCCCAGGCGTCCCCAAGTCAGCTGCTGCTGAAACTGATCAGCAGCTGATTCCAGGAAGCCCGGGGCAGAGCAACTCTGCCTCGGGCTTCCTGTAGTCAGAGCCCCGTTCGTAAGTGCGGATCCGACGTAAGTCGGATCCGCGTAAGTCGGGGACTGCCTGTATATGCAATAACATGTCACTTACTTTTGAGATATTTTCTGCAATCTGGTAGCTAAATATTTATTTAGTTTTAATTTATTTATTCTTCTTTGAAAACCATGTTCTTTCGAAATCAGTTCACCTTATCGATAATTTTAAGTTCTGCTAGTGATTAAATTTGTATCTAGTTAAAGGGATGGGGACCTATGGCCCAGCATGCGGCATGTCTTGATCCGGCCCACGAGGCTTGGGCTCTCTCTTCCCACAACAGAGCAAGCCAGAGCTGGCTTGTCCTGCTATGGAGTCCGGAATCCCAAGCGTAACAGGCTGGATCAATGCAAGTTACAGGCTGCATCGGGCCCACGGGCTCTGCCTAGCAGGGGAGAGGAAGTGGTTCTTCATTCTGATGTCATCCCCTACTCCCTCTGGCTGGGGAAATGGCAGCTCAGAGAAGCTCTGGTCATGTGCTCACATGCGGTTCTACCACAGGGGAATGGTCAGAGGCCATCTGGGGGACCACCAGCCATGCAACTCCTCCCCCAACACAGGGAAGGGTCAGGACCATTCCTCTTCACCTTCTGGCAAAGCCTCAGAAGCGCGGGAACCCGCCCGATGCCCCTGGTCTGCTGGAGACGGTCTCCAGCAGACCAGGGGCACCGGAGCAGCTTACGAACGGGGCTTTCTCGCCCCGGAGCTCGCAGGTAGCAATCTGCCACCTCGACCTCCGGGGCGAGAAAGCCCTGTTCGTAAGTGCGGATCCGACATAAGTCGGATCCGCGTAAGTCGGGGACTGCCTGTATACAAAATGTTGTTCTGACATCAGAGGGCCAGCCACATTACCGTGCCAATATTAGCTATTGCCCCAGATATCATTCTGTCACCCAATCCTTTAATGTCTACAACTAAAGGTTTATTATAAAGAAAAAAGACCAATAAGACAGTTGTTAAAATCATAACACAATCACATACATAGAGACTTCAGATTCTTGCGTGTTGGTGAGTTTGCTGTCTTGAAAGTCCATCTGGAACACATCCCCTGCTTGGATGAGTCATTCAGTCCTTGTTCAGAGCTTCAGTTTGTAGAAATATCTCTCCAGAGGTAAGACACGAGAATGAAGACAAAATGGAAATGATGCAGCTGCCTTTTTTAGTTTTTGCCATATGGTCTGTACTTTGTCCCAAACACAGGCTGACCAGCACATGGTATGGAAAAGCCTTAGGGTATGTCTATACTATCAAGTTTTGGCAAGGAAATTGTTGACATACACAAGTCTCCAAAAAAAAAAAAGTCACCAAAGCATGTTTACACTTGTTCCCTCTGTCAACAGATTGTGTCCACATCTTTAGCTAACCCATCAATAGCAGGAGCAATGCACTGTCTGTTTGTTCAATAACCCCTCCTAAATGGTAACAACTAGGACCACCACATTTGCTAAGCAGCTTCCTCTTTTCATAACTTAAGGCAAGATAAGGATTTGGTTGTGCCAGGAAAACGGGACATGCGTGGAAAGGGATTGTCTCATAAAATCATACAGAATGAGACAGAATCACCAGCCAGGTGAAAGAGGCTGGCAGGGATGATGCCCACCCCCTGGATGGGACTGCCCCAGCCCTGAGCCTCCCACCTCTCTAGGCACCGTTTAGGAAGGGCGGAAGGGGCTGCAGCTGCTTTCCCTCATTTCATATGGGAACTTTGCCGGCTCTTCTCCTTCGTCAGGGAGCAAGGGGAAGGTGCATAGGCTGCTGCATTCCTCACTCTGGCTGGAGGGCAGATGTACCTGGACCTGCCCCAGCTGGGGCACATGCATCCTTCCCCAACTGAGCCCTCTGGAGCTGCAGCAGCCATGGAGAGACACTTCTCACCTGGCCCCAAGCTCTCCATTGAGAGAGAACTGGGGCCGCCTGCATATTGACCCTCTCATCTCCAGCCCCACCTCAGAGCAATAATTCAAATGAAGCATGGACATTTTCATTGTATTTCCCAACACTTGAGTTAAGGACCAAAGCAATGCCAGGTAAATCTTCTAGTGTTGCTATTGTGGTAGAGCAGCTGTGTGACTGTTTCATTCACTGTAAATCAGTGGTGGGCAAGATACAGCCCACGGGCTATATTTAGCCTGTCAAGCCGCCAGATCCATCCAGCCAATGGGCTGCTCTGCTGGGACCCTCAGGCACACAACAACCCCATTCTGCTTTAATTGGCTGACTGCTCCCTGTGGCTCTGCTCCCAGCACCAGCGGGAGGGGGAGGCTTCGCATGCTGTCCCTGCCTCACAGTAAAATCTCTCAGCTCCCATTGGCCAGGAGATTTTGCTGGGGGATGGGGTGGCAGCAGGGCATGAAGCCTCCCCTTCTCCCCCAACTCCCCGAGCAGAGAGTCACATGGAACAGCCAGCTACTTTGAGCAGCCTGGGACAGTGACGGGCAGGGAGTCTGCCTCAGGGTCCTGCAGGTCAATGCTGGGCCCTCTGCTGCAAGGCTTGGCTCCCAACCACCAGCCCCCGGTCCCATCTGTCAGGCTCTTGGCCTACCCCAGTTGTCAGTCTTGCATCCCTGGTCCTGCTGCGCCAGTTTTTCCCTGTGAGTGCTGCAACCCCGGAGCAACCACAGGATCCCTGACCATGCCAGACCTGAGTCCTGAACTAAAGAGGTTCAACCCATCCTGTGGGTATTGCTATTGCCTCGTTGGGGCTGAGTGCCTGTCAGGGTGCATGTAACCAAGATACCCACTCCCATTGCCTTCTATAGCTCACTATGAACAGCTGCTACATGGTACCCAAACTCTGCCAAGTTTATTAAAGACAAAAAAACCCCTAAGCCATATTAAATGTTAATTTTGTTGCTGCATTTGATGCTAAAAGTGTCAACACTGTCCAGTTCAGCTCCCACTGATGGCAGTAGGGTGATTTCCATTGACTTAAATGGGATTTGGATCAGGTCCTAAATCAGTTGTCCCCATGATGGGCATGTGACTGTTGGTAGGTGAGGTCAGGACAGATTCTGAGCCCAGATGGACTTATTTTGAACTGAATGTTTCTCCAACCTGCTACTGCCAGATCCCCAAAACTCTTGGTGGCCTACTTCTTTAGCATTACCACTGGATTCTCTCTAGCCCACCACTTCTCTAGCCGCTGTCACCATTTTACCTGAGTTGTCTCCTGATTACTTTAAAGCAGAAGGAGCAATAATAATCACTCTTTTTCTTCCCTTCCTGGCTGTAGAGGAAAAAGCTTGATCCGGTTTTAGGCTTTATGTTTGCTGGATTGCTTATGTTGGTGGATGTGACTGAGGAGGAGGGCTGGTCTAAATAAATGTGCTTTGGCAAGACATTACTGAGAGTACCTAATTCAGGATATGTTTAGAGAGAGACAGGGCATTCACAGACCAAGACAAGTAGCCCTTCACTGTAAGGCACACAAAACCAGTCAAAAAGAGAACTTCTGTTTCACTATACTGACTAACAAGAAGCGTATACACGCAATTCCCTCAGACACTCCAGTTTCTCTGTATCTCCACCAGTAGCACTCCTTATATGGAAGAATGGTTATAAAAAGCCAATCTCACCAAATAGAAGGTTCTTCTAATCCAAAGGGACCAGCCACTCACCCATGTCAATACATAACTCAGATCTGACCCTCCAAATCATGCTGTTGCCAATCCTTTAGCATATAAAATCTAAAGGTTTATTAATAAAAGAAAGAAAAAGAGCTGAGAGTTAATATTGTTAAAGGAATCAAATACATACAACAATTACAAAGTCCTTGGTTCTGGTCTGTATCATAGATGGAACAAACTTCTGGCTCAAGTCAAGTCTCTGCTTACTTTCAAATCACTGGAAAGACTTCAGTCCATTGGTTAGAATATTCCCCTTGGTATACAAGTCAAGTCTCTGCTTACTTTCAAATCACAGGAAAGACTTCAGTCCATTTGTTAGAATATTCCCCTTGGTGTAAGTCCATAGTCCAGAGGCTTAAGCAGGAAAGAGGCTGGACTAAGAAAGAGGCAAAATGGTAGCGCTCCAAAGGGCCTTTTATATCTTCTCCTATGTGGAGGGACTCCCATTGTTCTTGCTGTGGAAAAGTACAGTAATGAGATGGAGTTTGTCACATGAGCCATCACAAGGGCAAATCACCTGTCCATGAATGACTCAGTTCTCTACAGGTGGCCACCATTGTCCCCATACTAGGCTGACCATTCACAGGAAGGCTCATCCAATGTGGATTGGCATCTCCCAAGGCCCACCACTGTCAGTCAAGTACTTCTTGATGGGCCATTCAAATTGAATAGTCCTTCATGGTACACTGGCCAAATATCTCATTGGTGTTTCCCAGGATCACACATTGAAATACAAGTACATAGCCACAGCTCATAATTTCAAATAAAACAATTACACACACATACAAATAGCATATTCATAACCAGCAAATCATAACTTTTTCATAGACATTTAACATGGCACATTTGGTACAAGATTTGTTGTAAATATATAACAGCAGTTGCAACAATGTTCATATTTAAGTCAAATAACATCCCAGTTGCATATAGAACTGGGCAAATTTTCACCAGAAACTGTTTTGGGGCAACAAAGTCAAAAAATTGGCAACAGTTGCAAGTACATGTCAGTTTTGCCACATTTTTCATTTTGAATGTTTTAAGACAAGCTCAAAAATACAAAATAGACTGTTTTTAAATATTTTAAGCAAAGAATTTTGATAGTTAAACTTGAAACAACTTTGTTTCAAAATTTCATTGTTTTACTTTTTAAATATAAAAGCACAAGTCAAAATGAAACATTCTGATTTTGCAGAAACGAAACATTTCAATCAAGCCAAAATGAGTTATTTTTTGTTGATTTATTTTTGAAATTTCAATTTGCTGAAAATGTTGTAGATTTATGTTTTCATTTTGAATTGGAACAAAGTTTCTTATTTGTGAAATTGCCTACAGATTTAAAAAAAACATTTTTCACCTAGGTCTGTTGTGAAGATTCATAAACTTCAGTGGAAATTAGATTGTGACCTAAAACAAGCTCCCCATGCCACAGCTACAAATCTCTTGTCCTTCTATGCTGGTTTTGCAAATAGATTCTCTGTCCGTCCTCTTCTCTGGATACCATCAACGCATTTAAATACCTCCCACATATTTAAAACTATAAATAGCATTAATGGTCTCCTTTTCAGCCTGCAGAAGAGCTGCATTAAATTGCTGAGAGGTCAGGGGAGTGTGATTGGGTGAAGGGGGATATGGTACAAATAGACTAACATAAGAAAGTGAAGTCAAATAAATTAGTTTTGCATTCGGTGTGGAAAGTTTGGAAAAGACTTTTGACTTGCTATTTTAATAGAAGCATGGAGCAAAACGCTTTGCCTAATCCAGGAACAGCTCAGCCAGAGGTTTCAGAATGCAAGGAACTAGATCACACAAGAGAAACTTCAGAAGTGACCAACAGGTATGCTGGGCAACGGGCACTTCGGGGGGTAATCCCAGCATGTTTAAGAGGGGCTCTAAATTTCTATTTTAAAATGGTTGTGAAACTCTCTTGCAGAGTTCCTCCTGCTGCAGCTAGAAACTGCATCATTATCTTTTATCCTATCATTTGCAAATTTCAGTCCAGGATGAAGACCACAGATATTTGCAGCCCTGTGCTTTTGGGGAGCCCATGGCAGCTGTTCCAACCGTCCTATGTATGGGAGGGAACTGGGTGATTACAGGGGCCTGATAGGGCAGCAACAGGGGTTGCCCCCCTCCCCCCTACACATCAACTGGGCAGCGGTAACCTACTGCACTCCACTTCACTGCGCTGCTCTCTCCCGGCAGATCTCACTTGGCTTCTCCGCAGCGGTAGGAAGCAGAGCACCTGAGGCCCAGGACACTCCGGTTCCCACCGCTGCAGAGATGTGAGGTGCAGAGGATCAGGAGGGGGGCCTGGCAGAATGGGGCAGAGCAGGCTCTGGCTCCTGCTGCCCATGTGGTGAATGGGAGGGGAGGTGGGTAACCCCTGCTGTCACTGCACCAGGCCCTTGTAATCCTGCCTGCTGTGTTGCTCAGGGGAGGGGGTGTGAGGTGGAGCAGGGGCAGGGCTTGGGGAAAAGGTGGGCAGGGCCTGTAGTGGAGTGGTTGTCCTAGGCCCCGCGCCCGGTCCTCCCCTCACCCCCCAGCATCTCAGGACAGCCATGTTTGCAAACAAAAATAACAAAATTCTGCACGTCTCCCACTCTCCCCCATATGAAATCTGAAGGTGCCTTGACTCTGCCTCAGTTAGAAAATTGCCATTTTTGTTTAAAGTGGTTTCATGGCAAAATGATTGTTTCTGCACATATTGTGCTGGGGGAACAAGCCTTAACTGTGTCCGGAGCAAAGCTGCACAGTTCAGATCCAAAGCTGAGCTTCCCTTAACATCTGGGGATATTTGGATCTAGAGTTTTGGCTCCAAGCTTGTACAGATGGAGCAAGCTCAAGCTGCACAGTTTGGATCCTGTTTCAGTTTTAAAAGAGATTTTCAAAAGCAGGGACACTCAGTGAAGAGCCAGAGAACTGCTCTGTCAATCAACGTTAAAGAGCAGTTCATGAGCCAACCCTGGAAGAGAATGATAACCTTGTGGTTACCAGTGGCTCCAGGTTCCCTCATCCAGACTTGTCCCGTCCATAGGATAGTTTGGACTTTTGGAGGCCCTGTAGCAACCACCCCAACCATCCTATGAAAGGGAGGGGGACCTGGTGGATTGCAGAGGCCTGGTGTGGCAGTACCAGAGGTCTCCTCCCCACCCCCACCAGTCACCATGAGGATGGAGGGAGCTGGAGTGGCCCAGCAGCCTGCTCTCTCCCAGCCAACTGCACTCAGCTATTCAGCAGCAGCAAGAAGCAAAGCGCCCCAGCCCCAGGGTGCTTTAATTTCCCCTGTCACAGAGACATGAGGTGCAGTGGATCAGGAGGGTAATGCAGCGGAATGGAGTCGAGCAGATTGCCTGGCTGTCCGCATGGCGATTGGGGTGGCAGGGGTGGCCTCTACTATTGCCACAACAGGGTCCCTGTAATCCCCCATGCCGTGTTGCTCAGTGGAGAGGGTAAGGAGGTGGAATAGAGCAAGGGTGGGGCTACTCAGTCATTAACTGAATTGCAGGAATATCCTGAACCTTCAAAACTGAGTTGAACATCTCTCCAGAACAATATTCGGCACTTCTGGTCCCAGGAAGAACCGGGAAACACAGAAGCATCCAGGAAACTGAGAAAAAGCTTTATAATGCCACACAACCCTATTTCTGTCTTTCTCTTTTTCTGACAGTTTCTAATACAAAAAGTATATTTACAAAACTGAACACTGCTTTAAGCAAAATAGCTAGCCAGAATTTTTTCCCAATGAAAATGATTTTAGATTCAATTTAAGTTTTGTGTGGTGAGTTCTTATTTTATCTTGCCTACTTTGGTCTGCCCTAGTGATTATTTGCTATCATGAATCTATCTATTTTAGGGTTTTATACTGCCACTCATCATGCTTGTAGCAAAGCACCTTCCACACAAAATCAGTAGCAATAGTGAAATCTCTAGTGGATTTCATGGCATCTTGGCACTTCTCTCTTTCTGGAGTAAAACATCTCCCTGGAATAGGGTTTTTTATTTTGCTACTTTAAAATTTCAGTAATTTCCTATTTTTCTGTGCTGGTTGGGGTTTATTGGCTAGACAGAAGGTGGTGTTAGTAGCATCACTCTTATGCTGGACAGACTTCTAATGTGTTAAACTTAAAAAACAACAAATAGTCTGGTAGCACTTTACAGCCTAACAAAACATGTAGATGGTATCACGAGCTTTTGTGGGTACAGCCCATTTCTTCAGATGACCACAGTTTTGAGCTTAGGATGTCCAGACCCTAAATAAATATGGGAGAATTTTTTTTTGTCCAGACCCTAAATAAATATGGGAGAATTTTGAGGGGGGGGGAATGGAAGGGGTCGGGAAACAAGAAGCAGAGGGTATGTAATATCAAAGCAAAAATCAAGCGGGTTTGATATTTCCCTTTGATATTGTTTCCCGCCCCCTTCTATTTTTTTCCTTCCTCCCTCTCCCTTCTCCCCTATTTATTTTGGGTCTGGACATCCTAAACCCAAAACTCAGGTCATCTGAAGAAATGGGCTGTGTCCACGAAAGCTCATGATACCATCTACATGTTTTGTTAGGCTGTAAAGTGCTACCAGACTATTTGTTGTTTTTTAAGTTTATCCTGTACAGACTAACTCAGCTACCCCGTGGAGCTTCTAATGAGTTATCTGCCATCCTCAAAAGCTCTGTGCCCTCCAGTGGCGAAAGTGAGGCACCGCAAGGTGAGCACACAGATTTGGATGGAACAAAGATGGAGCAACGGGTGAAATGTATGGAAGACAAACTCAGGTAAGTTTGGTGATCTGAAACTATTCTGGTTTAGATCTCAACCTCTGGGTCCAAACAATTATTCATGTTCCTAGCGGATCCCTGAAGTTTACACCATTCTTGTCGTTTGTTGTCCTTGTCTTTTATTGAGACGCCCGCCCCCTCTTTAGCTAATTGTATGGCCTTTTGCATCATTCTCTGGCCCTCCTTGTCTCCAGAGATTCAGTGCTGTGCCTCAGCACCATGGCTTGGAGCTGATTTCTAAAGAAAGAGACAGAGAGGGTGGCTAAGATCATCACAAGTCTCCCATATCGCAGAGCCATGACCACCTGACCGAGCAGACATGTTTAAATCTTGGTTGTTTAGGTTTTTAGCTGATGAGCTGACTCATCATTTTGGGAGGGACTTCAGCTATTGCAGCAGGTATTACTTTATGGATATTTTATTAAGTCTAATCCCTTTGCACCATTCTCTGCCTGATTAAGGGAAATGAATGTTCGATTTGAAGACGCAGAGAAACGACTACAGGTTTTGCAGGACCGGCTCAGGTAAGTGGGGAGGGTCAGGCCTCGGTCATCTGAAGCAGTGGGCTGTGTCCACGAAAGCTCATGATACCATCTACATGTTTTGTTAGTCTTTAAGGTGCTACTAGACTATACGTTGTTTTTTAAGTGCAAATACTATGATTCTTTCTCAAGTATCTACCAAACCCAAGAGTCTTGTATGTTTCCAAGTGGGCTCTTCTTCTTGCTTATGGGTGTTGATACTAAAATATCAGCATGCCTAGTGATTGGCCCAGCTTCATTTTTCCCACTTGGCATCTTTTTCCTTCAGGGCCAGGTCCTCAGGCTGCCACCATGTTCACTTGATCGTACATGGCAAACCCGACCCTGTGTGATATAACACCACAGCCTCGCTAAGTCATGTGATGGGCATCCTGAAATCATATTGTGTCATCCCAAATAGTTCTCTGAATAAGTAATACCCCCTTTCACATCAGCAAGACAGAGGAGAAAGTCCCTCCCTCTCTCCTCCTCCCTCCCCCCATCCTGATATAGAAAGGGCAGGTGGTAAATTGATACTTGACTTGGTAGGGACTGTAATTACAGTTGCCATCACAGCATAGTCTGCTCCTAGGGGGAAGGGAGAGCCTTGCATTACTTATCAGTGACCTCTTAACAGCCATGTAAGGGTGGCAATGACAAGCTCCTAAAGGGAAGGGTGGCAGCTGAGATTCTGGTGAGGGCGGACAGAGGTGAACTGTGGGGAAGAGAACTGAGGCAGTACCCTGGAGACACTGATCACAAGCATCAAATGCCAAAATTACTCCACCCTTAAAAGATCAAGAGTGGTGAACAAACAGCTGGGTTCCAGTAAACAAGCAGAGGTAAGGATTTTCTTTAGTCTTCTCTGAGACCCACATAACTGGGCTGGAAATTGGATAAGAACAGGCTATCATGTGAGATTTCCTGCAACTTCTGTGCCTGGTCAGGATGACGTTACAATGAAAGCAGCCTCTTTCCATGGCATTTTGGAGCTTCCAAACTCAGCTAGAAGAAGGAAACACAGAGGCAGTCTGGGAAGGGACTGGACTTCCAAACTCAGCTAGAAGAAGGAAACACAGAGGCAGTCAGGATAAGGGGAAGGGACTGGTAATAGCTAATCAATCTTTTTCGAACCTAAAAGGTTTTTCTTAGGATTTATCAAAATCAAGACTTGGTTGAGGTAGGGACAAAGGTTCAGGTTCTTACTAGAAAGTGATCCATTACACCAAGATTGGAGCTAGCGTCAAATTTCTCTCCAAATCCAGACCAAATTGGATCCAGAGATTTTGTTCAATCACATACCATAGGGCTGGTTGGAAAGGCCAGATCAGGAGCTGGGTCAGAACTTCTTCAAAGTTCAGGTTTCTGGGTTTTGTTTTGTTCCCATTTGCATTTCCTTTATTCCACTTGGTTTGTTCCATCTCTAGCCAGGAAGCAATAAATGGGATTGATTGCGGTGGTTCCATATCACAGGAGGCCACCGACAATAGTCACAACTTCGCTGAGAAGTGAGTATTGTGTATTTTTGTTGCTATTCTATGAATTGCCTCTTCACCCGGGGCCAGTCACCCTCCTCCTATCTTTCTAGTACGTCTGTCACCTTTGAATATGACAATAGTCACAACTTCGCTGAGAAGTGAGTATTGTGTATTTTTGTTGCTATTCTATGAATCGCCTCTTCACCCGGGGCCAGTCACCCTCCTCCTATCTTTCTAGTACGTCTGTCACCTTTGAATATGATGTGACTCTACAAACAGAACATTCTGAGCAAAATTCATGAATATGCATGAAGACAGCAGCCCTCCCCTTCAGTGCTGAGGGAAAAGAAGACTTTGGGGAGGGAGGGCCAGGCAGTGTTGCTTGTCCTTCAAAGGGTTTATTACCTAAGGTGTTGACACATGGGACCTGAACCAGCTTTTATCAAAGTCAGCAGGAGTTTTGATACTGACTTTAGTGGATACTGAATCAGACCATATGTTGTAATGCATGTTACCTCCCCCCTAAGTATAAATATCTGAGTTACTGAATCTGTGCAGCACCTAAATTAATCCCATCTACTACCATGATGTAATCAACCTGTTTGACAAATAATTATGTCATGACATTGCATCACTGTATGACAACATTACATTCCTGCCTTCCCAATGCAACAACACTACAGGCAGTAGCATCTCAAGGATGCAAAGCCATAAATACATCTGGGGCAATTACTGTCCTGTGAGCTGGGCTTGCAGAAAAGATGGATGAGAAGCAGGGACTCTCATGAATCCTAGAATTGGTGGCTGTCCCAAATCTTGCCTTAGCCATCATTTGGTGGTTGATTATATTCATTTTGTCCATGAAATCTAATGGTCAGCACAGAAGAGATTCATCAGGAGGAGGAAGAGTGTGAAAAGCTGAAGGGAGAGAGAAGAGTCTTAGAGAACATGTGGGAGATTTGTAAATATTTCTTCCAGAGCTTTTCTTTTTGCAAATATCTTGATCCTTCTTCCAACGATGAAACCTCTCTATGCTCCCCTGGCAGCCAAAGTGACCCCTCCCTCCCCAAATTCTCAGCCTCTATGGGGCATGCGTACTACTGGCTATGGTGAACTGGGTAGCATGATCCTAAGAAGGGGAGGAGACAATGGCAGCTCCATGTCTGTACCCACATGTGGATGAAAGAATTAAGCTCTCAAGGAAATAACCAAAGTGCAGTTTAGGCCATGCTAGCTGCCGCTTGTGGAGTGTCACTCTGACAGTGCTATTTTTTCCAAACACAAGCTGTCACACCAGGATGCTTACTGGTCAGGGGGATGTTAGTTTGGGGTTGGGAAATGCAGAGCAGAGGCTGTAGTGCTTGTGATTTGCATGGCAATTCATAAAGTGTTTCTCGCGTATCATTAGTTAGATTTGCATGGCAATTCATAAAGTGTTTCTCACTTACCATTAGTTATCTCTTTATTAATTAAATCACCATCACTCTTGGTGTTTTGCATTTCTGTCTAGCTCTTTCCCACTTTAAAATAAACTTTTCAATCCCCCTTTAGCCCTGGATCAGAGCCTGTCTTGGCCAATACAGTAGAATGCTGCAAGGTCTCAGAGAACTTGAGTGACCCTTGTCAAGAATCAGCTGTGCTAGAGATGTACGACAGGCTCAGGACACATGAGTGGGAGAAAGCCAAATGTGCTGCTAGTGACTCTGCCTTCTCAATGACATATGAACAAATGAGCACAGTAATTAAGGTTTGTTGATATTGATATCCTAGCACTCAAATAGATAAAGTTTGGAAAAAGAATAACACTGTAGGATTCAGTCTAATGACTTGGCATTTAGTACTTGCATGATCAAGGAAGAAACTAGGTGTGACCCAAGGACCTCTTGAGAAGGTGTAGGAGTTCAGGGATTCCCTGGATTCATCAAAATGATGTGACATATGATCTCTAATGATAGCCTGTGTCTCATGTGATGTAAGAATCCTTATAAAAGGAATGTGTGAAGAATGTGTGTGGGTTTAAGTATATCTGCTGAAAATTAGGTTCTGTAGGACTTGTATTTGAAGGCAGGTCACTCAAAGGCAGACCATCATGAGGCAAACTGTCCAGACAGGGAGAGGGTGATGCTTATCTGTCTGGTGGGCCATTGTATGTCTTACATTTGCATACTGCTCATGAAGAGTTTACAGAAACTTCAGAAGGAAATTAATTGGAAGAGAGAAACACCCAGCAGGGTGGGGAGATGCTGTTTTCAGGGAAAATCAAAGTTCTAGCCTGATATATCTGGGGATAGAGAGAGATGCTCTCACATCCTTCAATCTGTGATGACAAGCTGTCAATGGCCTTGATCGATGGAAGGAGGAGCTTAGTCATCATGGTTGAAAATGCTAGTGAAAAGACCTGGAGTTAGCAGTCCTGCAGTTGACATGGGAATAGCTTGTGAGATTAGTTTAGGCTGTAACAAGATTTTTATGGTTTGTATCACTTTGTTTCCAGTATTCTCACTTACTATCCTTTGAAAATCAGTTCTTTGATAAAAAAAATATCACTCCCCATGTACCTAAATGCTGTGTGTTAAACAGAGTGGTGATCCTGAGTTGACTCTAAGAAGCTGATGTGTCCTGGGCACAGAGAATATGATAGGTCTAAAAGTGTTCAATGAATTAGATGCTCCAGAGGCACGTGCGGAGGACTTGGGTGCTGGTGTGTGCCTCTTGCTAGCCTGTGCGGAGGAGGGAGGTCTGCGGCAGCTTGGAAAGCAAGGCTTGTGTAGCCAGTCTGGGGGTGTCAGGAAGCTGACTCACAGCAGGCAAACAAGACTTCCTCGTGGTAAAGGCAGATGGTAAATGAGATGCCTCACAACCTGGGAAGTGTCACACTAGCACTGGTAACTGGTTCTTCCTCGTGGTAAAGGCAGATGGTAAATGAGATGCCTCACAACCTGGGGTAGCCCTGGGAAGTGTCACACTAGCACTGGTAACTGGTTACTCAGTTGTTAGCTGTTATTTTCCAGCCCAGCATGGCCTGTGGAATGCCATGGAGCCTAATGGTGCTGCACACTCCTGACAGCCAGAAGAGTAGTTTGAGTTCCCATTTCTCACTCCAACAAGGCATCAGCTGAGACTGTTGCAGCATCTTGTCAGGGTTCCTGGTGACTATGGCACTGCCATGCCACATAGGAGATTAATTTTGATGTCTCATTATTGCTCCAAGGCTGGGTGTATCGAGGGGAAAAATGTCATGGTACAATGAAAAGAACAACACATGTGCACAGAAATGGAGTGACGGCTCTCAGAAATGTCTGTGCCAATTGTGCAGTGGGAGGTGCCTAAACTGGCACTCACTCAATTGATTAATCTCTACCAATTATTAAAATAACTTCAATCCCTGATCGCTGCCTGAAGCATTTTTGCACATGGATTCAAGATGTGTTTCTGTAGATTGGGTAATGTTACAGTGACATTCGATTCTCTAATGCAGAAGAGTCTGGCATCTTGTCCTTAGGGCGCCAGGCTTTTCATTTGTTCCTGATCAGTGATCTCTTGTTTCCTTTGCACCCCAGGCTGTGTTTGCCAAATGTGAAGAAGAGCTGTCACAAAGAATGAATCGAATCTTTGAACTCCTGGAGATTCCAGTTTCTAAGGAAACCACAAGCCTCTTTGCCAGCCAGCAGGTATTTAACATTACAGCACAGTAGGATGTAGAGATGTTAGGCATCGTGTAATTGACTAGTCGTATAACCGCATGAAATTTTAGCGGTTATACAACTATTCAATAGTCCCGGCGGGGCGGGGGTGGTGGCCAGTGGGCTCCCGGCCCCACTCCCGTGGAGCTTCCTGTCACCCTGCACTGCTGCCTCTCCATCAGAGGCAGCAGCGTGGGGTGGGATGTGGTTACTGGTCTGCCAGTTTAAAAATCAGCTCCTCATGCAGACTGGCTGCCTGCCTCCCCCCATGCTTCTGCCTCTGATACAGAGGCAGCAGTGCAGGGTGACAGCAGCTCCTGTCTGCGGGGGGTCCGAGCGCCCCTCAGACAGAAGCTGGTCTGTGAGAGTAGCCACTATGCATGGGAAGCTCAGACTCCCCACTAATAGGGGCTGCTGCTGTGAAGCAGCCTCTGTCCGTGTTGTGGCAGGGTGCCCT